TGTTTGGTACTGCTGGAAGTCGTAGGCTGACAAAAACACCGGCTTTTTTCCCGGTCGCTTCGGGGTGTAAGCACGAGCTTACTGGCTCTCTTTTAGCATCGCGCTTCTTCTTGCTCAGCACAATAAATCCGTCTTTTAATCCGAGCCCCTGTTTCCAGTTGCCACTTCCAAGCAAAGTCTCAGCTCCACCTCAATCCTCTTCCCTCTGTTACTCGACCTCCCGGGAGATAAACCGTCACCTTCGGTCCTCGTCCCCCACCCAATCACCTTCACCCCCTTTTCGCCACTAGCATGCTCACCGCACCTGGCCTAGGCAACTACCGAAATTCGATTCAATTAAGCCGCACAGTGTGCATTTCTTCTACGTATCTGAGTTCAGGTTCGAGTTGCGAAAATCCTTGGTGCCGGGGTTTTTTTGTCTTGGCGGGGCGTCAGTGTCCACTAAGCATAAAAGGCTCACGCCCCCCCCCCCCCTTCAGTAACCCCCGCCTGTTCCCCATCCGTACATCCAGGCATGGCCACAGCTCTTCCTCAGTCATATCCCGTCATTTTCCCTCCCTTACGCTCTCCTGAGATCTATACCACTACCTCCGGCGTTCTCCCCGCCGTCCGAGGAATGCACCAAAATCATCGCAACTTGCCACCTAACGTGTTCAGGCTGAGTCGAGCCAAATTCGAGTAGTTGTGCACTAAGGGCGTCGGCCAGTGATCGACTTTCTTTCAGTTTGTAGTCGTCGCGGATCACGCAATCAGAATGGATATTGATGAGCTGAAAGATGAATTCCGGAGAAGATTCAAATGCCCCCCGAAGTACATTGTTCGATGCCCTGGACGAGTCAATTTAATTGGTTTTTTTTTTTTTCTTTTTTGCGATTCTCGATTTTTTATGCGTTTTTTTGCACCTATGCAATGCAAAAATGCATATTGTCGAGCAGTTGTCTGTGTGTGTCTATGTGTGCGTCCGTACCGAGTTTTCATCCCGAGACCTACAGAGGCTACAATGCTGTAACTTTGGTAACTTAATCTGCACCTATATATAGGCCCCTATCCTCAAATGACCGCTCACGTCCACATGGTTCCTGCGTACGGGCACGTGAAAGTTTTTTTGGTCGAAAAGTATCGGAAACAGCGCGAGTTAGAAGGCTGCAACTTCACGAAGATGTTCCTTGGCCACTTCCAACCCAAAGATATCACATTCAGCCTTCACACACCTTTAGATTTCATGTAGGTGCAAGTCAAAGTTTGAACTGGCATCGTGCCAATAAGCTCTTCAAGAGCTTGTGAAGGGCTGTAATTACATGGCTTTGTTTGTCGCCCACTGATGTGCCCAAGAAAATAAAGTGAGCTTTCCAGCTGCTCCGCATCTCATGTACGGAAACGTGGAAATTTTGCGCATATAGTTCTGTAACTTTGAAATTGAACAGCTGAGGGGCTGAAACTTTCTGAGGGTGGTCAGCGGCGGCGTTCCAGATGTAAACATCTTTCACGTCCCCTTCATTTCTCAAGTACGCCTTACGTAGGAACACGTGAAATTTGACGTAACTCCGCACCCGCAATGGCTATAGAGCGCTGGAATTTTCTGAGCGTGACCCAGGACGTATTTTTGAAGACAACTTTCACCTGCCTTTCACGTACGAAAACGTGAAATTTGACGTAGCTCGCAATCGAGGCACCTTGAGTTTTTTGTGCACGGATTGGGGGTCACTGTAATAACATTCGTGTTGGACAGTCTCAATTCTTTTAACTATAAACATCTGCCGGAAAAAACAGTGCCGTCAGCGAAGAACGACAAAAACGTGCGGAGGAACTGTGCAAAAAATGCATTTTCGCACTGGCGGTTGGTGAGCTGCTAATTATTTGCATTTGAAACAGCTATAATTTATACCCCATAAATTGTCTCTCCCTCTACGTTGCTTGCAGTTTTTCCAGTTGCTTTGAGCAGCGCTGCATTGGTTGTTAGTCAGCTTGCCAGCAAGCGACTCAGATGCCATTCGTCTAAACTGATTGCTTGCGCAACTGTTCTCCTGACAGAAGCCTAAGAGAGCCTTTAGACGTTCTGTAGTGTCCTGAACATCACCAGCTTGTCCAGATTGTTATAGTTTTAGACCGTGATGGGTGCTCCTTCCTCTTAGAAGTGAAATAACGGGGCGGCGTTTGCTTGCAAAATCAAAAGTTACACTTCCCCGTATTTGCTTTGTCTGGGAGAGGGAGAAGCACTCGGCAAAGAGCCCGAAAAACAAGTGTCTGTTGACAGGACGATGGCTGCTTCTTTCAGGAATTACTCAGAAGCTAGCTGATGATGAGTTCAACTTCCTAACTTACGCCTTTATCAGTTTTGCCGGCGAATCTTTGCAAAGTGGCTTTTCAGATTTCAGTTTTGCAAAGCAATACAATTACAAATTTAGTGAATTAGTCTTCTGTTTCACTGAAATGAAATTATGAATGAATGTAATGTAATCAGCGCTTTCAGGGGAACACATCGATTACAGCGGCTACGGTGTGCTTCCGATGGCAATCAGTGCATCGACGTACGTGCTTGTGGCGGGGCGTGACGATGCCAGTGAAATTGCTTTTCTCAACACCAACAGCACCTACAAGTAATTATTTTCATAATAGGGGAATTCGTCTGAAGTATGGGGCTTTTAGCACATAATAAATCACTTTTTTTCAAAAATCGCCCACAGCTTTTTTTTGTTTTGTTGGCCTTGTCAAAAAATGGCTCATGACATGCGCATCACAGCTTTTCCGTGAAGGATCCCAAACAGTCTGCTAATCCGCTTTAGCTTGCTATTGTAGCTTGGATGTTGTAGTGGTTTGAAAACCGGGAAGTCACTGGACCGTGTGGTTCCTTACCTCCCCTGGTAGGAAATCAATCTTTTCATAGTTCGATTGTCATAATCCTTCTGCTATAGTTTTGTGATTTTTTGTTGAGAATCAAATTAGAAGGGATTTGAATAGCATTTAAAGCATCTTGATAAAAGCAGTTGCGGATAAATTGAATTCAGAACAAACTGAAATGACACATTTTTTATAGTTTGTCTAAAAATTTGTTCACTAATAATAGCCAAACGTTTGATTCATTTAGCATAAATATTTAGCAGTTCCCCCTTCTTTACTGGGTCACAGTAGTCATACTGACGAAGTCCAGTTATGGTACTGAAAAGAGATATATGCATTTTCAAGGCCAAAGCATTCTGTCCGATTTTACATCTATAATTTATAAAATTAAAACCCCCTTTGTAGGATTTTTTCGTGATGTTCTACAGTAAGTCTTTTCTCATATTTTATAAAACTTTCAATTTTTTTAATGCGTTTTTTGCAGCAATGCAACGCGAAAAACACATATTGACGAGAGGTTGTCTGTGTGTCCGTGTGTCTGTGTGTGCGCCTGTCACGCACTTTCATCT